TTGCGTCAGCATTTTTGACACCATTGTTACCAAATTTCTTTATATTTAATCAGCACTTTTAAGGGGGGGAAATACATGTAAAGTTGGAAAAATGATGGAATTTTATAAATTTTTTTTTACACTAAAAGTTAATCAATCTTTTCTGCACTTTGTGGTGTTTTTATTTTATATCTTAAAAGCTAAAATATATTTTTTGTTTTTAAAAATAATTAAAATGGTGGTGCATTAAGCTGATGTTTCCAGGGCGGCGCTGCTCCAGTTGTTAATTGGTCTGCATTCTCACGTCTGTTATGGTCATCTGAAATTAAAAAATCTAATTGTTTTTTATTATTTATATAATTGCCCTATGGATAAACCTCAAAATTAAAAAAAAAATGGAAAATTTAAAAAAGTATATAGCTTTAAAAAGTCTTAAAATTGACTGAAAATTTTTGTTTATTTTTACTATAAAAAATTATTTAATCAAATTATTTTGTGAAACACTAGGTTCATATTGAAAAGAATGTTATAAAGTGTGTGAGTGCAAAATTCCGTCGTGATAGCTTAAATAGTTTTTGAGTTATCATGCGGGCCAATTTGAAAAAAGTTGTTTCGAGAAAAACGCGTTAAAAGTTTTGATATATGCTGAATCAAACTTTCTGATTACTTACGGCTACTCTGCGATCCCGAGGCCATACAATAGTCCCTCTACTTCTTTTTAAAACTGATTTTGTTCCAAAAGTTTTTGTTTTCGGGCCTCTTTTGTAGTACTGAAGCTGCGCTTAACTTGTCGAGAAATTCGTCGCTTGTCGCAATTGTGAGCGTACGAATTACATTGCCTACCAATGACGATATCCTGCATATCCATAACTTTTAATATGGAGGCATATCCTTCATTAAACAGTCCAGCAGCCAAAAATGCTGAGATTTCAATGATTCGTAATCCAGAATGCAAGTGTTTTGGAGCTAAACGTCAAACGCTGGAATTAAAACTTTTATTTGCATTCTGGGTGTGGCCGCCTAAGCATCTCTGAAGTAAGTCTTTTTTTGACAAATCTTCATATACTGATAATATGTGTTTCTGCACATCAGGATGGAGCGGAGCAGGATGCTTGTATTGTTTACCAGCGGCTACGGCAACTTACCATTTGCACCAACTGTCTGCTCCGGGTGGACAGTTTTCATGCCTCGGATTTTTGTCTGTAGAGCATAAATGATGAAAAGAAGACTGCATTTTTTATACCTTCCATAGAGTTTAAATTTCTTCTTATAGCCAGGCCGTAGTACGTCGTAAGTTTTTTTATTAAGGAATCAGTTAATTTTCCTTTGCCGCCAAGTTTGTGCTCTTTTTTAATATTTCGCAGCCGAGTGCCCATTCTCTTTTCCACGTGTCCAATGCATTCATTTTTTACTACCTGGAAATCGTCACCATGGATATGGATATGGATTCATATCTGATATTGCTTTAAATGTTTTCGAATTCCCGTCTCCAATGTAGTGTCCATATGTCACGCCGTATTTTTCTTCCGATCTTGAAAACATTTCTATTACCGCGCTTACTTCCATCTTGCCTGCAGATCCTTCATGATTCTTGGCGCATTCATATATATATGAATTTCATACCAATCATTATATTCTTCAGTATTCTCTTTACTCTTCCAATATGTACAACCTTGACAATAACTGCTTTTCAGAACTAAATCAATAACTTTTCCACTGTAGTGGCCTATAAGTGCTATTACTCCAAATAACGAGGAAAAGCCACATTTTTTCCACGATCCGTCGCCAGAAACTTTGAAATTTAAAAGTGATCTCTCATGTTTTTCATTCTCTTCGTTTTCTTTCTCTACTGCTTTTTTTGAAAAAAAAAATCAAATACTGCTTTGGAACATTTATGCATGTGTTCGATAATACTATTGTACGCACTTTCACTTATTCCTTTACAAATGTCCATAAGATTGCAAAATAAATTTATGCCTTCTTTTCCATCGCCTAAAAGTTGCATCACAAATACATTTCGCCGATTTATTTCAAATCCATTTTGAATAAACGGTCCTGAATTAATATTTCTGCGATCACACCGACACAAAATGACGAGTGAAACCGAGGCCACGATGTCCAATTTCTTGAAATTTGATTTGTTGTTTGCACTCGCGACATACAACAATATCTAATAGTCATTGAACACGGTAAAAAACTCTATTATTCTGTAACAGTGCAAAAGACTCCAACTAATGTCTTTACTGCTAGCAGTAGATAGTTTTCGACCACTTGCACATTTCTCGTTCTGTTCACTTTTCGAGGTGTCATACTGGTTGCCGTAAAAGCGTCTTTTTCGAGATCTACCACTTTTGCTACGTTCTTCTTTACTTCCTTTCGAAGAGGATAACATTTTACAAGAAAACTTCTCTACAGGCCAAATGTCGGAACAACAAAACAAAACAAAAGTCTCTTTTTTGTGTGCATTTTGTTATTTCATTCGAAACATTTGCTTACCACAACTAAGGGACCTTAGGAATAAACTTAGTAAACACAGAACATTGCAGCAACATTGCGGCAATGTTTGCAATATTGCTGCAATGTTCTGTGTTCACTGGGAAGATATTATAAAGGTCCTTTTATAATATAAAGAAATATATATTATATTAGAAATATAATATTATATTAGAAATATAATAGTAGTTATACTATGGGGGTTCTAACCCAGGGGCAATGAGGGGGGTGCGGGTGAAGAGGGGAAGAGGGGTATCAGATAACAGTGGAGGGGGTAATGACGTCATCGTTTTGGAGGAGAAGGGGTAATTTAGGAGTGGTGGGGGGTATCAGATAACAATAATTCCTGGAAGTGGGGGATTTCCGGGATTCCCGGAAGAGATAAGATAAGGATTGTTAATACAAACATGAGTCGTCGAGAGATAAGGATTCCTGGAAGAGATAGGGATTCCGAGAACTGTTTAGATCCTTTGGTTTTTCTCTGCGCATCAAAGTGGAGCGCCATGTTGTCGGAATGTATCATTGTTAAAGGATTCCGAGAACTGTTTAGATTCTTTGGTTTTTCTCTGCGCATCAAAGTGGAGCGCCATGTTGTCGGAATGCATCATCGCAATGTTTATACAATAAGGGTATATAAGGCCCGCGAAGAACGAGTGGTATAACAGTCGAAATGTTCATCGCACTCTCGGATGAACGCGATATTCTCAATTTAACAGCAGCGGAGTTAGAATTTGTGCCAAAGGTGATTTTATTAAGCAAGTTTGCTCGGTTCGTGGACCAAGTGTGGGAGAAACTTCCGGAACACGTAAGAGTGGACCCGGAAGTGCAGGGTTACCGTCGGTGCAAGAAACATCACAATCAACCGTGGCAGCGCGACCACATCGACGGACCCGCGCCATACGTTAAAGATTGCACTCTGTGCGAATTAGGTGAGAAAAATATCTCTAAAAATAGAAAGTGAGAAATATTCAGCGAGTAGATATTTAGGTGTATTGTAAAATGTTTCAGGATCACCACGATGCGACAGCCGAGGAGTCTCGTCGAACTCGCCAGGAAGGTCATAAACCAGAACGTCGCAAGCAGATACCTATTGAGCGATCTACCGCTTCCGGAGAAGTATATTCGACAATTGTATCAGACGTATGGTCGGGATTGCTTCGAAAAATTGTTATCAAAATGTAAGACGCAAGTCGAGTACTTAGGCATTGTACAGTTGATGTGTTGTGTCGATGCCGACGAAATGTCGGAAATGTTTGTATGCGAATATTGAAATAAAAAATTTTTATATTTAAAATTAAAGTTTTTTTTATCATCATCCCGCTGTAGTAATATAAGAGAACGCGTCGATTGTACCGACTTATCGCGAGTCAAGTTACACCGTTGTAGCGGACCATTTAAATAAACAATTTCAAAAGTTTTATTAAAATAAACTTATTCATATTAAATAAAAATAATTTAAATTATTATTCCTGTGCCTCATCTTATTCACTGACCTATCCTACCGCGAGATAAGCGACAGATCATATGTCACGAGGATCGTATAACTGAGGTGGAATAAAAGTCGTACGATATAAATCATTTTTTCTTTTATTTACGACGAATGATATAGAGTGAAATAATTAAGTTATACATTTATTCTAAACACCAATAATATACTTCAAGTTTTCTTTTTAATACGAATTATCCGCGGTAAAATATAAATTTAATAGGAACTCTAATCTAAGCTTAATATGTAATTTAAGGATGGGAGGTGAAAGGATAAAAAATCGCAATAAGATTAATATTAGCAAATTTTATTCATAATTTTGTAAAAGATGTTACATAGATGAAAAAAAATTGTTTCAACTGAGCCTCTAACGCCTTTCACGGTTACGAGGGGGAACGGGGGGAGGCGCTTGAGTCGTCCTCGGACGAGGCTCGACCACAGCTATCGACTTGTGGTACACTCCGCAATCTTTACACTTCTCGTCGTATTCGGAATTTTTTCTATTCTGATCACGCTCCATTTTCTATACTTTTTTCTCCACCGCGTGCACACTTTGAACTGATAAATTACTCTCTTCCGCACACCTTATATACAGCTCGACGCAAAAAACGTCAATTTCGCTGTAGTAATAAACGTTAAAATACGTTCGATAGATGTTAAAAGTGGTTTAAGTAATATTGAAAAGATGTACAAAAGATGTACGTAAGATGTTCAACAATACGTTAAAAGACGTTCGATAGACGTTCAAAGACGTTCGATAGACGTTCAAAAAGACGTACGATAGATGTTCTTACGAATAATCTCTTCGCGAGATAAGCGACAGAGTATATATCACGAGGATCGTATAACTGAGGTGGAATAAAAATCATACGAGAGATGTTCAAAGATGTACGATAGACGTTCCATAGATGTTCAATAGACGTTCAAAGACGTACGATAGACGTTCAAAGATGTACGAGAGGCGTACGATAGACGTTCAATAGATGTTAAAAGTAGTTCGATTGACGTTCAAAGACGTACAATAGATGTTAAAAGTTGTACGTAAGACGTTCAACAATACGTTAAAAGATGTTACATAGATGTTAAAAGTAGTTCGATTGACGTTAAAAGACGTACGATAGACGTTGAATAGATGGAAATATCATACGCTGGCCTATCGTCCTGGTGAAACCTTAGATCCGCGATTACTATTCCTCGAAAAGGAGATGCTACTGTCGAGCGAGTCATCTCGTCTTCGACATATTATAAAGAATTTTATTGTTGTAAACTATCAGCGGATATCGATACGAATGTTAGTTAGCGACGAATAGCTTAGCACCTATCGTCCTGGCGAAACCTTAGATCCGCGATTACTATTCCTCGAAAAGGAGATGCTACTGTCGAGCGAGTCATCTCGTCTTCGGCATATTTTAAAGAACTATATTGTTGTAAACTATAGTGGATATCGATACGAATGTTAGTTAGCGGCGAATATAATAAGATTATAATAAGATTTAGCGGCATCTTTGATGTAAGGGGATATAAGTCGGGATTAAGTACTGCATCCATAATAGATCTTCGTTGTTCACAAAGTTCGTAACGTAGTTATTCGTTTAAAAAAATGTCTAGTTGTCGGAAAATAATCGATTTGTGTTTGCGATTGACGCATAGCTTAAACGGGCTATGCGTTGATAATTATTTATCGTCGTTGTCCGACAACGACGATGATAATTATACGGTATTCGCAAAGTTTGCGGGTGCGTGCCCTAGCGCGGTGCTCGCTGTGTTATTTCGGTTGGGACATTTTTCGAATTATCCTCAGCTCTTGATTATTGCTGGGAAATTGTCGAAATGAG